GAACCGAGGTGGCTGTGAGGGAATTCGTCTTCTACAGAGCCGTCTCAGCTTCAGTGAGCAGCCCGTTACTTTTACTGAAAGACGATCCACCTCCGTGGAGTCGTTGTGTTCACCTGGAGGAGACGCTCCGGTGCTTTGAAGCGCCGCCGGACCGGAGCAGAACCGCGCTGCCAGACTGGGCCGCCGGACCGGAGCAAAACCGGGCCAGGGATATCTTCAGCCTCTTCGTCTCTCGTGCTTGGAGCGCCGGAGCCGAACTGGAGCAGAACCGGACCGGATCAGTTGCCGACTTCAGCCTCAGCCTCTCCGGTCAGTCTCGCTTTTCACCGGGGGTGCCCCGTGCTGTCGGGTGCTGAGAAGCGGAGGAGCAGCGCGGAGGAGCAGCGCGGAGGAGCGGGTCTGCGTGTTGCTCGAGTGAATTTCGGAGTTTGTATCGGAGCTGCTGCAGGCCTCCATCCAAACTCACCTGGATAATAATTAATTTTATTCCGGATCACGCTGTTGGCCCCTGTTGACCTGAAACGAGCTAGGATCATGCCTTTCACTTCAGGAGGATTTTCTGGCAGCTCGCTCTGCTATTTGCTGCAAATTTTCTGTTTCTGTTTCGGCCTGTTGATTCTGGACCCAGCTTCTGTTTCTCATGGGAGCATCCATCCATCCATCCATCCATCTTCACTGGGGAGCCGGAGCCCCCCTCAGCCCGACTCTTAACTGCAGTTGGGCCACCTCATCGGGTTTGTTTGCCCATTTGAACTGTGACGTTTTATGGTCTGAAACTTTTCTGCATCATTCATATTACTGTCACTATTTTCAGTTCTCAGATTATCTGGAGTCACTGAATCTTGTTAATACACCTGAATCTGTCCATCACTGCAACTTTCACTGTTTTTGGGTTCTGAATGATCACGTCTTCATTAATGTTTCTCATGGTTCGATTATGGGGGCTAATTGTCACACTGTTAACTCCTGTAATTACACATCAGTCACAAAAAACTCAAGAAAATGTCTGATAATAATGTTGTTACTGCTCTCAGGGATTCAGCCCAACCCTGGACCCCCCACTAATTACAGCACACCAAATGACTTTAAAAATGCCTCTGGGCTTCATTTTCTGCATGTAAATGCTCGAAGCCTTCTGAAAAAACTTGATGCTGTGAAAATCCTGATCAGTTCTTCTGGGGCAGATGTTATCTTTATTTCTGAATCTTGGCTGAACAAATCTGTAATGAATAATGACGTGGCAATCAATGGATTTAACATCTACCGCTGTGATCGTCAAAAAAGGGGGGGTGGAGTCATTATTTACATTAGAGATTCTCTGGTTTCAAGTCTTGTCTTCCAAAACAATTCCAAATCAGTTTGAAGCCTTATCTGTAAACATCACCTTGAATGGAGGCCAGGTTTTAACTGTAGTCTGCTGCTATCGTCCACCATCAGCTTCACCTGAGGCATTAAATGCCATTAAGGAATTCCTTGGTAATTTAAAATTCAAAGAGGTCTTTTTAGCTGGAGATCTTAACATTGATTGGTGTAAGTCGACCCCCCTCTGTGACAAATTCAAGGAATGTTGCTTGTCTTTTAATTTAACCCAACTGATCGACTCCCCCACCAGATTAAATAAAAGCCACCCTGAAAATTCCTCCATCTTAGACCTGTTTCTAACTAATATGCCTCACAAATTCCCTGGTACAGGTGTATTTGCTGATCTTTTGAGTGATCATTGTGTGACAGCGGCTTTAAGAAATAGTAAACTTCCACCTTCTAAGCCCAGATTAATTCAAAAAAGGGATCTGAAACATTTCTGTGAACAGTCATTCCTCTGGGATCTGTCTCACTTTGACTGGCATCGTATTCTGTTATCTGATGACGTGAACTCCGCTTGGAACTATTTCCATAATAATTTCATTTATTTCCTGAACATACATGCTCCTTTTCGTCAGTTCAGAATAAAGGGACGAGACAGCCCCTGGTTTACTACAGAGCTAGCTGACCTCCTGCACAAGAGAGATCATCTTTGGGCTGCAGCGAGAAAATCAGACTCAGACACTGATTGGTTGAGTTTTCGACAGATGAGGAATAAATGCACAACTGCTGTTAAAGCAGCAAAACACAACTATTTCTTATCTCAGACTTCCAAAAATCTAAATGACCCTAACAGATTCTGGAAAACAATTAAATCTCTCTCAGGCACCCCCCAATCATCTGATCTCCCATCACAACTTCTCGTTAACTCTTCACAGTTACTAATAAATGTTCTATTAGAGAAGCCTTATACACTTATGCATGCTCACAACCACACACAAATAGAAGCAGGGATGCTTATGTAGGCTTTATATGTAGATATATAGATATGTATGTGAGTGTATATTCATGTGTATGTATGTATGTATGTATGTATATAGGCGTAGGTATGGGTATATATATTTATGGAAACTTACTGCAAAGCCATGAATATTTTTTCTTTATACATATGTATTTTGTTGCTGTTTTTTGTCATGTTCTTTGCAGGTGAACAGACAGTGGCCGGGTGTTTTGACGTGTGCTCTATTTGTATATATTTCTTATATTTTGGAGTCTTACTTTGTCTTTTCTTTCTTTCTATCCTATTATAAAAAAAAAAATTAAATTTAAAAAAATTTTTTTAAAAAAATATAAAAAAAACTACACTAGATAGTCACTATAATAAATATTTCATAATAATGGTGTGGAGAGGATGGCTGTAAGGGGAGAAGGGAGGCCATCACAAAAAAAAAAAAAAAAAGCAGCAAAACGCAACTATTTCTTATCTCAGACTTCCAAAAATCTAAATGACCCTAACAGATTCTGGAAAACAATTAAATCTCTCTCAGGCACCCCCCAATCATCTGATCTCCCATCACAACTTCTCGTTAACTCTGTTCCTGTGTCAAATAAGCACGAGATCCTGAATTGTTTCAACAAACATTTTGTTGCTTCTGGTTCTTTATTTGACACAGTTACTAATGGAAGATCAGCCACTTCACTTAATAACCAAACTTCTACAAATCAAATCCCTCCTACAAGTCAATCCTCAGTTAATCACAGCTTCTCTTTTTCTCCATTCTCAGTCAGTGAGGTCAATAAACTGTTAAAAGGTCTTGATCCTAAAAAATCTGCAGGTCCAGATGAACTTCCACCTTATTTCTTAAGGCTGGCTGCTCATATCATCACAGTCCCTGTGACCCACATCTTCAATCTCTCCATAAGACAAAACTCCATCCCAGACACTTGGAAAACAGCCTTTGTTCTTCCTTTGCTGAAAGGAGGTGACCCCACCTCACTGAACAACTATCGACCAATCTCTAAACTCTGCATTTTAGCCAAGGTTCTAGAAAAACTGATAAACTCTCAAATCAAAAATTACCTGGACTCATTTAACATCTTACCTCCACATCAATCTGGTTTCAGGAAACAACACAGCACAACCACTGCTTCACTGAAGGTTCTTAATGACGTTGTTGAAGCACTGGATGCTAAGGATTATTGTGCTGCAATTTTCTTAGACCTGTCTATAGCTTTTGACACTGTGGATCATAACATCTTGTGTCATAAACTCTCAGAAATTGGTTTCTCAGAACACACCATTGGTTGGTTCTCTAACTATCTTTCAGACCGGAGGCAATGTGTTCAACATAATGGTACTTCCTCCAGTTATTTAACAGTCAACAATGGTGTACCACAAGGCTCAGTCTTAGGACCCACCCTCTTTACAATCTACAAACATAATGTAGGTAAAAACATTCCTAATGCATCCATACATTTCTATGCTGACGACACAGTTGTTTATTGTCGAGCTAAAACTGTTGATAAGGCTTTCCAGCTTTTGCAATCTGCATTTAACTACATCCAGACTGATTTGTTTCACCTCAAACTTTTCCTAAATGCCGAAAAAACCAAAGGGATGCTTTTTTCAAATAGGAAGTTGGTCCCAGCAGTTCTTCCTCCGATTTTATCCTCAAATGGTGTCCCCATTGAGTTTGTTGATTCCTATAAATATTTGGGTATCTTGGTCGACTCACATCTTTCTTTTAAGCTCCATGTGGAAAACTTGGTAAAGAAACTGAAAGTTAAACTGGGTTTCTTTTTCAGAAACAAATCCTGTCTAACCCTGAATGCTAGAAAACGCCTTGTATCTGTGACTTTCCTTCCCTCCATTGATTATGGTGACATTATTTACATGAACGCTCCTACAAGAACCCTGCAGATGTTGGATGCTGTCTATCATGGTGCACTAAGATTCATAACTGGCTGTGATTATCGTACCCACCACTGCACACTGTATTCACTGGTTAACTGGACATCATTAACTTCACGCAGACTCTCTCATTGGTATATTTTCATCTTTAAATCACTTCTTGGTCTGTTGCCTTCATACATCTCCTCCTACATGTCTCTGCGTGAGTGCAGCTACGGAGTGCGCTCTCAGGACATTATTACCTGCAGTGTTCCCTCAATGAGGACTGAACTAGGCAAAAGGGCCTTCTCCTACTCCGCTCCTGTTTCCTGGAATATCTTACAAAAAGATTTGAAGCTCTCGACCTTGACCTCTCTAAGTGTCTTTAAGAATCTGTTGGACTCCTGGCAGGGTCCAATGCAGACATGTTCCTGTTTTTAGTTTTCTACATTTGTCTTGGAATCTAGCTGTTTTTTGTTTTGTTACCTTTTCCTTTTAGCCATCCTATTTGTTAAAAAACAAAAAAAACAAAAAAAACTAGTATGCTTTTTTATAACTGTTTATTGTTGTTGCTGTTGTCCATTGTTGTCATCTTTCTTTGTTGAAATCAGGTCTCTCTTGTAAATGAGTCCTCGAGGCTCAATGGGATTTACCTGTATAAATAAAGGTTGATTGGATTTAACATAAGACTTGTGTAGATAGCATTGTTTTACTTTTCGTATGTTTTTATTTGTACCATTTTATGCGTTTTATCTTGAGTGTTTTTTCTCGTCATTTAAGCATTGAAGTACTTTGTGTCTGCATCCAGGTGCCGTATCTTCTGCTGCCTCTGCCCTGGTACCCCCTGGGAAACCTCCACAGCTTGAGGATTCATACAGCCCTTACAATCTAATCTCCAACTCTGAGTCCCCCTCCAGCACCCTGGGGCCTCCTGACAGCTGGGGCCAAGGCAAGAGCCCCAATGAAAAGATCTCAAATGGGACCAACATCAACTGGCCTCCAGGTGAGAATAAATATGTTCTGCCTCTTTTACCTTTTAAAGCAACTGAACCTGACCCGTGCCTTATTTTTATTTGGTGTTTCATCATGTACATACTATTATGGCTACTCCAGCTTTAACCTGACGAGGCTCAAGCTTTGAAACTTGCATTTTAACATCAATCGCGTTCTTCGCACTGCTCAGTCATGGTCTTGTCTTTATGGCGCAGAGTTCTGCCCAGGCGTGCCATGGAAGGGCCTTCAGAACATCGACCCTGAGAACGACCCCAACATGACCCCTGGCAGCGTCCCCAGCGGTCCCACTATTAACACAAACATTCACGACGTCAACCGATACCTGCTGCGGGACAGGAACGGAGGTATGGGAGGAAACACGAACATCAGAAACCTTACACTGTCTGTTGTACTCTTCCTCTGCTTCATCACACACTTCCATGAACTCATGACGTTTTCTTTTCTGAAATGCTGTTTCTGTTGTGTGTGTCCACAACACTGTGGTCTCTACATCGACATAGCCACTTCCCCAGCTTCTCCACTCTAGAATGGCTCTCTGCCTCCCATCAGCAGCGACTGGCCAATCAGTAACTATTCTAGCTCTGTCTGTCTGTCCTGTGATGGAGACAGCTCAGGTACTTGTGCAGTAGTGTCCCCTCCCTCCTTTAACATGAGTTAAGGTTGATACAGCCTTTTCCAAACCCAAGCCGTGTGTTTTGAAGTTTCTCACACAAACACGCTCCTTTAGACGAGAGCAGCTTTGATTGACAATCTGCGCCTCTTCTAACAAAACCACAGAGAAATGGAGCCTCACCCAGTCATAACACCAGAACACACCCTATCCTCTGTGGTCTGTATGTGTGTAGTTGATACATGTCGTTTGTAAGTGTTCCACTTTTTTTGTTTTACAAACTATTACTTTAATTGCAAAGGAAATATTTGCATTCTCTCTCCTTAATTTCATGTTTTAAGAACACTAAGAGCCTTCCAGATGTTCTCTGGTGGAATGGCAGATGTAGTTCCCTTTTGAAATACATGCACGTAATCATGTTCGATATTAGTAACACAGTAACGTTTGTAATATAGGTTTGTGTTGTACAAGCATGCAGCCAAAACAACCTGCGCTGTCTGCACTTTTAAAGCTACATTTCAACACTTTGTGACGTGAAGCTGTGACGGAGCCACATTTTATCTCCACTTGTCTCCTAATGTGATCCTCTCTCCACTTAAAGGTAAACTGTCTGACATGAAGTCCACCTGGTCCCCTGGGCCCATCTCTCAGAGTCAAGCATCTCTGTCCCACGAACTGTGGAAAGTCCCTCAGGGGGCACGCAACACCACAGCTCCATCCCGGCCCCCACCAGGCCTCACCAACACCAACAAGTCCTCCTCCACTTGGAGTGGCAACTCGTTAGGCCTGGCCCCGGGCTGGAGCGGCTCCTACTCGTCTGGTGAGGGCTAATTGTTACATGAACCTCTTGCACCCCTCCCCCACTCTTTGCAACTCAGTTATGAAATCTTGTGACATTTAACAGGTTCACCTTCATGAAGCCATGTTAAAGATATTCTTTTGTAGTGAAGCAGGGACAGCTTTGCTGTCCCAGCTTCACTACTAATTAATTATTCTTAAAGCTAGTTCAAGCACAAAGAATATTAATTATTTAATTGCAACGGATTCTTTCTTTTTCGAGTTAAATTATGCGTCATGTGACCGAGATAACTGTGAGGATTGTTTAATCAGTGACATGAGATGCCATTTTATGTTTGACCCATCAGAATAAATGCAGTCATTTATTTAACAGAATCAAAACTTAACATCAAAACATGTACACATTGATTTGCTGATCTGTTTCTGATTAATAAAAACTTGGCACACTTTACTAACAAGACAACAGAACATTACTGATTGAGGCATCTAGATTACTGGCAAAATATAAAAGTTTAAGGGAAGGAATGGAGAAGTTTAAAAGTAAGATGGATGAGGGAAGATGTATGTTTGTTGACCAGAATTAGCACGCTCCTTTCAACACCAGCTCAAACCCCCGGTCCACTTAGTGCGTGGCAACTTGTGACGTCTCTTTACCTTTGCGGATGATGGATCAGCTCCAGTATAGAAGTCCCTTTGCATGCTACCTTTACAGCGTCTCCGGTCAGGGTGGCTGGTCATCGTCAGAAGTCGTGTGGTTTTTACTCCGTTCAACAGAACAAGCTTCCTTCGAAGTTGTAGGGCGTTACGCCTGGGTGAGTTCACAGCGAGGCACTGTGGCTCCAGCTGGGATGGACGAACCCTCGTCTCACGGTCAAGTCCATCAGCTATTGATTAAATCTGAAAGTTCCTTAGGAACTCTCAGAAAGACTCCATAGTCCCAAGAAAGACTCAGGAAAACTGCTGGAGGACTGAAGAAGACTGAGTCCGAAGTTTCACTCGGAAGTGGAAGACTCCGGTGAAAGACTCTAGGAAGACTGAATAGTTCCAGGAAGTGTTGACTTTTAAGGAGTACTCACTTCCGGTCACTCAGTACTTCCTGATTGGTTGAAACAACCAGCAGGGGCGGTGTTTCAGCGATGTCAGAGGGTTATTAGGAGTCAAAAAGACAGCAGGAATGTTTAGGAGCATTTAGTACAGACAGAGAAATGTTTTGAAGAAGTGAGAAACTTTGCAGGTGCTAGCTTCTTATTTACTGTCCGCTAGGTTTAAAAACAAGACACTTCGTTCTAATAACTTGCTTTCTGACTTTTGACCGACATCACTACTCCTACAGTTGATTTAAAATGAGTGGTTCACTTCAACATTTAGAAATGGTATGAACTAAACACACTTTGATTATCAAAATATTCTAAAATAGTAATGATAATGTAAAAAAGAAGAGTGTTCTTTCAATTGATTAATTCAGGATACAATTAAATAGTCTCTTGATTAAATAATTTGTATTTCTGGATTCAAATCAATGAAATAGCAGTTCCTGTCCCCTGAAGGTCTTCAGAGACAGATTGTTGTCGGAGGCCTAGTTCACTACACCTTCATTCATTCAACCTTTATTTAAACAGATAAATCACATTGAGCCTCGAAGACTCATTTACAAGTGAGACCTGTTTGGACAGACATATTACTTAGAAAAGGAGTTTCCCTTTTGGCCTCTGGTCTGTGTCGGCAACAACGAGTTCTGCCTGGGTTTGTTTCACGTCTGATCTTTACTAAATGACGTTTTTTTTTATCACCTGTGTTGATGTTAACTGCATTTCATGGTAAAACTCTGGTTTTACTCTTAACTTAGCAGAAGCAGCTCTGCCGATTTGAACCCAGAGTCTAGTGTTGAAAAAGTTTTTTTTGTTTGTTTCATTAGCTAAATACCAGAATTTGGTCAAGAAAACTTGGCCAATGTTCTGCTGTTGAAGATAAGTTAAGCACCTATTCACAAATTGAAAACCAGAAAAATTGCATTTCCTGCGAAAATGTAGTGTGAAAAAAAAAAAACGCGTGAGGAAAAAAATCACTGTAATACTACTTGATATGTGCATGCTGCTGATCTCATGCTGCTGATTTATTTCATGCTGCTGTGTTCATTCATACTCATCTGCTCACACAGACTCATGTTCGTGCTGCTGCTGTTCGGTGTATTTTTTTGTACTACAAGTGCTTAGTGTATGTCCTAGTTCATGTCTTGGATCTTATTACTGTTTTACATTTTATACTTTTGTTGGATGTAACTGGGACCCTGTGTACAAAATTTCGTTCCACTGCATGTACCACGTGATGCGAATGACAATAAGGAAACCTTGACCTAGAATGCTTATTGGTGAAGAACTTGCTGAAAAGCAGATGCAATTAGCTATAATAAAAAAAATGCTAAAATGTATCTGAAATGGAAGAACAAGCCTAAATTAGCAGAAGAAAGCAAAAAGAACACATATTTGCTGAAATAGGTTTAAATAACAAGAAATGAGCACAAAAAATAGGAAATTAGCTAAAAATGTGAAACTAGCAAAAAGTAGCTGAAAAAGCAGAAAGACGCTTAAAGTACCAGAAGGAAATGGAAAGAGCTGTAGTGAGCTTAAAAATGTGGAATTAGCTAAAATTAACATAATGCAGCTAAATAATAGTTGAAATAGCAGAAAAGGCTGAAACGCAGAATCAAGCTGAAAGGAGCATAACAAACTGAAATTAGCATAAAGAAGTTAAGTAGGCTGAAATTAGCAGAAATTACCACAAACAAAGTGGAAATTATCTTTAAAAAAAGCTTAAATTTGAAAAAAAAAGTCTGAAAAGTAGCTAAAAAAAACGGAAAGAACCTTTAGTTACCAAAAGGACGTGGAGAGAGCACGTTTTCACTGAATTATGCTAAAGAAAAAGGTTGAAATATCTGCAAAAAATGTAGAATTAGCTGAAAAAGCTAAAAGTTGTATAAAAACGGCTAAATAGCTGAAATAGCAGAAAAAGCCGAAACTTGCAGAAATAAGCTGAAAAGAGCATTACAAGCTGAAATTAGCAGAAAGAAGTTTCAAGAAACACAAAAATGTTATATTTGGCAGAAAGAATCTGAAAAGAGCACAAAACTGCTGAAAAATGTTTTAAATTTACACCAAGAAGCTCAAGCAGAACAACATGTGAAAGGAGCAGTAAAAGGTTGTAAACAGAGCTACAGATCTGAAGGATTTTAAATGAGCTCAATTCATTTCCTATGATGAGAAAAGTAACAGAAAAGGCTAAATATTTCAAAAAGCTGCACCAATACATGCATAGCCCCCTCTTCCTGAACGAACTGAACGTTTTGATATATGATTTGTTGAAATGACACAAACTGTGGAACGAGAAAGATGCTGAGAAACATGGAAGACAAATGGATCACAATAGTGTGAACGCTTCATAAACATGCACACTGTTGGTGTTCTTAAAAAAAAGTGTACAACTTTTAGAGATACAACTTAACGTTTGGTATTTTTGCTCTCGTTTCTACATCGGCTCGTTGAATTCATGCTTGGCCACAGAACAAACCACAGTTACAACATAGGAGCGATGTCTCTATTTAGTTATTAAGGCAGTGAATATAACTTTTCTCATGAAACTCTTAATAACCATAACTGCTCCACTGCAGAAGCTGCTCACACTAAGAATAAATGAAGACATGTTAACAGATGGAAATCAAACTGAGAAGATTGTATCACCCCACACGAGCGACTGCAACTTCATAGGTGTGGCTTTGGTCACAGGTGCCTCACATCTGTCGCTCTCTAAATGTCACTCTAACACGCCCTGTTAAACAGACTTTTTGTGGTTTGACTTTTTGACCTTATATTGACTCAACACATCTGTGTTCGTGCAGCAATGAGCAAAAACCTTTGTTGTCTTTACGTCCCCGAACTGGATAAAAAAGTATTCATTTTAAGCAAACATTACTTCCTGTGATGTTAGGTTTACTGAAGATGTGGCACCAGTATCTTCACTGGAAGTCATATTGTGGAAAGAGCAATTTCCAATAAAAAAAAAAAAAAAAAAGAAAGTTTACCATTTATTTCTCTAATAGAGCACTTCATCCATCCATCCATTATCTTTACCCGCTTGTTCCATTTTGGGTCACGGGGGTCGCTGGTGCCCATGTCCAGCAATCACTGTGCGAGGGGCGGAGAACACCCTGGATGGGTCGCAAGTCCATCACAAGGCCACATAGAGACAAACGAGACAAACAACTATTCACTCTCTCATTCACACCTAGGGACAATTTAGAGTTACCAATTAGCCTAACATGCATGTTTTTGGTCTGTGGGAGGAAACCGGAGCACCCGGAGAAAACCCACGCATGCACGGAGAGAACATGCAAACTCCACCCAGAAAGGCCCCTGGACTGGGGTTTGAACCAAGGACCTGCTTGCTGAGAGGCAGCAGCTCTACCAGTTGAGCCACCGTGCTGCCCTAATAGAGCACTTGTTGCTAACTTTACTTGACTGTGTTTCATTCTGTTGCAGAGGGAACCACATGGAGCACTGACAGCCCAAACCGGACCAGCAGCTGGCTGGTGCTGAGGAATCTCACCCCACAAGTATGTACCGTCTGCATACTTGCATTTATCTTATATTTACTGATGAGAAAACAATCACAGAAAACTTTAACCCGAGCAAAGCAGTGAAGCTGCATGAACAGTGTTGTTGTTCTTGTTTCATCAGATCGATGGCTCAACTCTGCGGACCCTGTGCATGCAGCACGGACCCCTGATCACATTCCACCTCAACCTGACTCAGGGGAACGCTGTGGTGCGCTACAGCTCCAAGGACGAGGCCGCCAAGGCCCAGAAGTCCCTGCACATGTGAGCTCCAGTAAAACCTCTCTCAGCAGCTTTAAGTGAAGCAGCCAGAAGAAAATGAGGAAGATTTCAGTAAAACTTGCTGTCGTTTTGGGTGTTTTCCCATGCTCAGAGCACTTTGTCTTTTTGAATAGAAGCAGACTTTTTTTTTAAAATATCGACAGTCACATGAAAGAAGAGGGAAGTCATGCTGGAGTCAAATGTGCGAATGAGTGATTACTGATTATTCATTGGATCTAGTCCACTCGTTTCTATGTCATGAAAGTTCTGCTATTAGTCATGGAAAACAAGTACACTAGTCCCTCGCTACTTCGCTGTTGGTTTATCACGGACTCACTCTATCGCAGTTTATAAGATTGGACATGACACACAATTGGCTGATTGATGAATGAGCCGCACGTTCTGCATGGAATTTTTATTTAAAATTAATTATTTTAAATTATTTAGCACCTCTGTGCAGCCCATACTGCAGGTAAACTTCCTGCTGCAGCTGATCAGCAGTTCTCTGTGCAGAGCTGAGAAGTAGGCGTGGCCAAGAGCACTTGCAGGTGGCAAAGAGCAGAGGAGGCAGATGCTGAACGAATAGGCTGTTCCCAGAGTGCTGTTTCAAGGCACCTCAGTGGGAAGTCTGTGGGAAGGGAAAAGTGTGGCAGAAAACGCTGCACAACGAGAAGAGGTGACCGGACCCTGAGGAGGATTGTGGAGAAGGGCCGATTCCAGACCTTGGGGGACCTGCGGATGCAGTGGACTGAGTCTGGAGTAGAAACATCCAGAGCCACCGTGCACAGGCGTGTGCAGGAAATGGGCTACGGGTGCCGCATTCCCCTGGTCAAGCCACTTTTGAACCAGAAACAGCGGCAGAAGCGCCTGACCTGGGCTACAGAGAAGCAGCACTCGACTGTTGCTCAGTGGTCCAAAGTACAAATTTTGCATGTCATTCGGAAATCAAGGTGCCAGAGTCTGGAGGAAGACTGGGGAGAAGGAAATGCCAAAATGCCAGAAGTCCATTGTGAAGCACCCACAGTCAGTGATGGTCTGGGGTGCCATGTCAGCTGCTGGTGTTGGTCCACTGTGTTTTATCAAGGGCAGGGTCAATGCAGCTAGCTATCAGGAGATTTTGGAGCACTTCATGCTTCCATCTGCTGAAAAGCTTTATGGAGACGAAGATTTCATTTTTCAGCATGACCTGGCACCTGCTCACAGTGCCAAAACCACTGGTAAATGGTTTACTGACCATGGTATTACTGTGCTCACTTGGCCTGCCAACTCTCCTGACCTGAACCCCATAGAGAACCTGTGGG